ACAAAGGCGGCCGGGCGTGGTGTTGGCCCCCCCCCCCACCCCGTATGCCGTGCCGGCCTTCATAGGTGTTACCCACTAACAGCACTTGCCCCAACAGTCTGTTATGGCTGTATGGATCTTTGTCTTTGCAGGTACAAAAGGCAGCTATGAAAGCTATTAGTTTTATCTTGTAATTTTTTTTGTTTGTTCCTGAAATGTACCCCCGTTATGCTATCAGCACCAAGTCATTACAGGAAATATCCATCCAGATCGCTCGCTGAGCAGTGCAACCCTTTTTGCTGGAGAACAGCCCACGGAAGTGGATAGCACAGAGCTACAGCTTGTTATCTCTTCAAGGAACCTCTGGTCCATCGAGTAGGGTACAGCACTTTCCACACACCGCTCTGCGTACGCTTTGCAGTTCGTCGCATGGCAGCCAAGACAATATTTAACTTCTTGAGAGATGGAATTTTTGCCAAAGCAAGTGCAAAGAGTCAAATTAAAAAAAAATTTGCGTGCAATCACTTGCGACCGGGCTGAGACCATCGACTCGTTAGAGAACCCGCTCTAATCACAGGTGGCTAACACCCGGATATTTAAAGCCAGAATCTCGGCAGTGCCGGTCCAGCGTTCTGACCTCTGAGCAACGGGGCCTCCTCAGAAGCTGTTAAATCTCTTTGGGCTCCCCCCTATACAGTTCTGCATTGAGTGCTGAGGGTCGGGTGAGCTGATGGCTGGCGAATGCCGCGACTCGGGTCAGTGGCGAATTCCTGATGAGGGTCAAGTGAGCGTCACGGCAACTCGTCCCTGGACAGGCTGTGCAGTGATGTCAACCGAGGAGCTGTGGTGGAATATTTTAACCGTGGTTTTGAGTTTTTTTTTTCGTGAATGAAGCCGAACATTTCAGACAGCCGAGTTGAGTAGCTACAACATACGAGCTGACGTTTTATTCTGTGCTATGCAAGCAATATCAATCGCAATGGTGTTAATGATTAATGTTATTTTTCTACCGTTTCATACAATTACGAAGAGATGTATAATTGTGCTGTTGCTTTAATATGCTTGAATACAAATGATGCAAGTGGCATCGTTACACGCTGCCTACGCCTGTTGATTGGTGAATGCTCAGCATGTACCGGTGAATCGATTGAAATTGTTTCTTACGATCGCGAACTACGCACACGCATTGTAAGAATCACGTGGACGCATTTTTTATTTGTGGTGTTTTTATATTCTTTGGGTCTTTCGGTAAAGTCACGTAGATAGGTTGAAGGTTGAAAGTAAATAACAAAACACTACGACGTTTTGATCACAACACAAGCAATTGTCATCAGGAGGAGAAAAGAGGAAAGCTGCCGAGGCAGGCTGTTTTAAAGGTTTAAAATGGGTGTAGCCCAATGGTCATAAACAAAGTAGGCGGGGCTAGTGATGTTAATCTGATAAATTAGCATGTTAATGTAAGATCGGAGGGTGACAAGGGCGCGGAAGTGGCTATGTTAATGTGAGATTGCTTCTAAATCAGAGCTATCTCGCTTAGTGGGACTTACCTGGTAGAATAAAAAAAAAAACTGTTTCGTTTTAAGTGATTTGTTTACCTTTCCCATACTTTGCACTCCTATCGTGTTTTTGTGATGGTTGCAACGTTGTTACCTGCCCCGACTGGACATCTATTATTTTTCTATCTACGTGACTTTACCGAAAGACCCAAAGAGTATAAGCTTCATAGCTCATCGGATTCATTCTGTATTTTTAAAATCCTTTATATTAAGTTCGCTTGCTTGCGTGCTTGCTTGCTTGCGTGCTTGCTTGCTTGCTTACGACCGTGCAAATCTTTCGGTCGTTTTTTAACCCACTTCCCATGATCCAATCGAGCTGACATTTTGCACACAGACTCGTTGTGACAGACAATTAATGTTCGTGAAAAAAAATTCTAAAATTTTACACTGTTTAGGGAAAACAAATTAAATATTTAATTACCAATTGCTTAATACTGGCAGACAATCATCTGACCCATAGATTGCAGCCATCTCAAGCCAGAGGACGAGAGGACTCTAGCCGCCACGCATATAAAGGATTTAGAGTGAAAAACTTTATTTTTACGGGTTTACTTGTTCATTTTGTCCATTAATTTTTGCCTGGGCGTTGGCCCCGCCTACTCATCCTCTAACCCCGCCCACTGCTCCTTGAAGCCACGCCCTCTGCCGACGTCGCGAGGCGGTAGGCGTTGACTACGAGAGCAGTGGGAGCGCTCGCGAATCGCAAGGTTTCCGATTACACTGCAGTGGGAGCGCTCGCGAATCGCTACGTTTCCGATTACACTTCAGTGGGAGCGCTGGCTCATCGCTAGGTTTCCGATTACACTTCAGTGGGAGCGCTCGCTCATCGCTAGGTTTCCGATTACACTTCAGTGGGAGCGCTCGCTCATCGCTAGGTTTCCGATTACATCGCCGTGGGAGCGCTCGCTCATCGCTAGGTTTCCGATTACACTTCAGTGGGAGCGCTGGCTCATCGCTAGGTTTCCGATTACACTTCAGTGGGAGCGCTCGCTCATCGCTAGGTTTCCGATTACACTTCAGTGGGAGCGCTCGCTCATCGCTAGGTTTCCGATTACACTTCAGTGGGAGCGCTCGCTCATCGCTAGGTTTCCGATTACACTTCAGTGGGAGCGCTCGCTCATCGCTAGGTTTCCGATTACACGTCAGTGGGAGCGCTCGCTCATCGCTAGGTTTCCGATTACACTTCAGTGGGAGCGCTCGCTCATCGCTAGGTTTCCGATTACACGTCAGTGGGAGCGCTCGCTCATCGCTAGGTTTCCGATTGTACTTCAGTGGGAGCGCTCGCTCATCGCTAGGTTTCCGATTACACGTCAGTGGGAGCGCTCGCTCATCGCTAGGTTTCCGATTACACTTCAGTGGGAGCGCTCGCTCATCGCTAGGTTTCCGATTACACGTCAGTGGGAGCGCTCGCTCATCGCTAGGTTTCCGATTGCACTTCAGTGGGAGCGCTCGCTCATCGCTAGGTTTCCGATTACACGTCAGTGGGAGCGCTGGCTCATCGCTAGGTTTCCGATTACACTTCAGTAGGAGCTCTGGTTCATCGCTAGGTTTCCGATTACACGTCAGTGGGAGCGCTGGCTCATCGCTAGGTTTCCGATTACACTTCAGTGGGAGCGCTGGCTCATCGCTAGGTTTCCGATTACACTTCAGTGGGAGCGCTCGCTCATCGCTAGGTTTCCGATTGCAACTCCGAGAGCGCTCGCGCTGGTAACGTGATCATCGCTTGAATCCGCAGAATGAATAATAAATTATGTTAATACATGAAGCCCATATATGGAGTAATGGAGCGTGGCTTTGTCCGTATATAAGGAAGTCTGGCACGGGAATCGACGTGTTTTTAACGATTCAAGGCTCGATTAAATGGGAATCTACCGATTTTGAACGATACAAAGCTTGATCCGTGATCGAACATTTTTTTATCGTTAAAGTGATTCCTGGATCTAAAGAGACGATTCGTGGATCGAAAAAGCCGACATCACGCCGCCCCTTGACGCTGATTGGCTTCCTTCACATTAACATAATTTATAATTTATTCTGTCACGGGTTCATTTTAGCCTGTGACAGCGCGCGTCGGTAGAACGCCGATTGACATCGTCTCGGGAGGCCGCTCGTGAGTTAAGTTTTCCGATTACAGTCGAAGTCGATTTCCTTGAGCGCTCGCACATCGCTAGGTTTCCGATTAAAACACATTGAGCGCTAACGCATCGCTAGGTTTCCGATTAAAACACATTGAGCGCTAACGCATCGCTAGGGTTCCGATTAAAACGCATTGAGCGCTCGCGCGTCGCTAGGGTTCCGATTAAAACGCATTGAGCGCTAACGCATCGCTAGGTTTCCGATTAAAACACATTGAGCGCTAACGCATCGCTAGGTTTCCGATTAAAACACATTGAGCGCTAACGCATCGCTAGGTTTCCGATTAAAACACATTGAGCGCTCGCGCATCGCTAGGTTTCCGATTAAAACACATTGAGCGCTAACGCATCGCTAGGTTTCCGATTAAAATACATTGAGCGCTCGCGCGTCGCTAGGTTTCCGATTAAAACACATTGAGCGCTAACGCATCGCTAGGTTTCCGATTAAAACACATTGAGCGCTAACGCATCGCTAGGTTTCCGATTAAAACACATTGAGCGCTCGCGCAGTCGCTAGGTTTCCGATTAAAACACATTGAGCGCTCGCGCATCGCTAGGGTTCCGATTAAAACACATTGAGCGCTCGCACATCGCTAGGTTTCCGATTAAAACACATTGAGCGCTCGCGCATCGCTAGGTTTCCGATTAAAACACATTGAGCGCTCGCACATCGCTAGGGTTCCGATTAAAACACATTGAGCGCTCGCGCATCGCTAGGTTTCCGATTAAAACACATTGAGCGCTCGCGCATCGCTAGGTTTCCGATTAAAACACATTGAGCGCTCGCGCGTCGCTAGGGTTCCGATTAAAACACATTGAGCGCTCGCGCGTCGCTAGGTTTCCGATTAAAACACATTGAGCGCTCGCGCATCGCTAGGTTTCCGATTAAAACACATTGAGCGCTCGCGCATCGCTAGGGTTCCGATTAAAACACATTGAGCGCTCGCACATCGCTAGGTTTCCGATTAAAACACATTGAGCGCTCGCGCGTCGCTAGGTTTCCGATTAAAACACATTGAGCGCTCGCACATCGCTAGGTTTCCGATTAAAACACATTGAGCGCTCGCGCATCGCTAGGTTTCCGATTAAAACACATTGAGCGCTCGCGTGTCGCTAGGTTTCCGATTAAAACACATTGAGCGCTCGCGCATCGCTAGGTTTCCGATTACAACACATTGAGCGCTCGCGCATCGCTAGGTTTCCGATTACAACGCATTGAGCGCTAGTGCATCGCTAGGTTTCCGATTAAAACGCATTGAGCGCTCGCGTGTCGCTAGGTTTCCGATTAAAACACATTGAGCGCTCGCGCGTCGCTTGGTTTCCGATTAAAACACATTGAGCGCTAACGCATCGCTAGGTTTCCGATTAAACTCGTGCGTTGGTTACGCAGTCGCGTTTCGCAGTGGTGCATTCGCGAAGCGCGTATCTTGTATATTCATCCTTTTTCGCGTGTGCGCCTAGCCAGGCAGGCATGCAGGCACGCTCATCATTCCCTTGAATTGGCGACGTTTCTGGATTCCTCTATCCACAGCCATAGTCGTCTCCACCCCCCCCCATCACCCCCCTCGACACTTCCGCGTTTGACACGACCGGGCACGCAGTCGAAGAAGCGAAGTGAAACTTGGCGAGAAAGACGCACAACAAACCTCGCCGGCAGTGGCGACTTTAGTTTCTTCGCGGTGGTAATTCAGCGATAATTTAGGGCTCAGCGAGCGGTAATTGGACATCGAGTTTTGTTAGCTAGAGACGTCCACAGGTGGGTCTTTAACGTGCGCTGTGGTGATGATGATGGTGGTGGTGATGGTGGTGATGATGGTGGTGGTGGTGGTCGTGGTGCGTGTGTTGTGATCGCGAGCAGCACTCCCCCCCCCCCAAGTCTGTTCAGCCTGTAGTTGTGATGATGGTGGTGGTGGTTCGTGTGATATGATCGCTAGCAGCACTTGCCCCCAAGTCTGTTCAGCCTGTACGGGGGATCTTTGTCTTTGCTTAACAGTGGTGGTGGGGAGCGGTGGCGGAGCGGTTAGCGCGCTGCACTACGAACTCGGCGATCCGATGACGATTCCTGTTCACGAGGTTTAATATCGGCGACGGAATATCTGAACCTTTCCTGGGTCCTGGGCCTCCCCTAGGTTTACTCGGCGTTAAATGAGGACCTGGTGTGGAGTGTATAAACATCAGCAGCGGGGTCGGGCTGAATAGCCCAACATTCTCAAGTCGTCTATACATACACGTTAAATATCTATTTTAGTGGTGGTGGTGATGGTTTTGTTGTGTGATGGTGTTTGGTTGAGATGGTGGTGGTGGTGATATCGTGCGTGGTGTCGTCTGTGTGATGAGCGCGGTTGGCTACGTACGGTGCGAAAGAAGTTCTACATAAAATATACATTTGGTGGTGGTGGATTGTGTGTGTGTGATGATGTTTGTTTGAAATAGTGGTGGTGGTGGTGATATCGTGCGTGGTGTCGTCTGTGTGATGAACGCGGTTGGCTACGTACGGTGCGAAAGAAGTTCAACATTACATTGCGGCGATGCTACTGTGTGAATAGTCGTCCCGTTTCTACTATCAATCGAGATCCTGCACGTGAGCTGATCTAATCCATTGCCTTGGTGGCCATCCTATTTGGGAGCGTTCCCTGCTTGAGCTGCTACTACATCGTTCGTCTCGACCATCGGCCATCACCACCACCACGCCGAATGGTTGATGTGTCCCGTCAAAACCTACTCTGCTTCACAGCCAAACTGTGTTCTCTAATCCACGACTTCCTCTTTCATTCTGTCAGTAAAAATCTCAGGCGTGCATCATCTCTCCGCGCTTATCATCACTGCTGGATGAATATCAATATGATGTAGTTAGAAATAAAATAAAATCAATCACGACGTTTCGATCGCAGATGACACCCGCTTGTGTTGCGATCGAAACGTCGTGATTTGTTTTATTTTATTTCTAACTACGTGACTTTACCGAAAGAACCAAAGAGTACGGATTCCTGCAGTCACGAAAGCTTCAAATCAAGATCAATGTGATGCCTCTAACCAGAGGTCGCAACCGGGTACCCGATACATGTACCCTACCCGATACCCGGCTACCCGTACCCAGCCGGGTACAGGTACGGGTACCCGTTTGCGACCCTGGTGCGGCCGGGTACGGGTAGGCCGTGAGTCACTGGTGAGTAACCGTTTGCCACTCATTTCGGGTAGGGTACGGGTAGGGAACGGCTACCCGTACCTGGCTGGGTGCGGGTACAGGTAGGGAACGGGTACCTGTACCCGGCCGGGTACGGGTACCCATTTGCGACCCTGGTGCGGCCGAGTACGGGTAAGGAATCAAAACCCGTTTGCGACCTCTGCCTCGAACTTCCGTGTGTTCTCTTGGTCCGCGGGTCCCTCTTCCTGTGCCCCCCAGTATCATGCCAAGGTGTGCCACTCTCCAGGCTTTGTTGCGTGCTCTGTTAGTCCCCTGCCCATTGGCAAGTCTACGGCTCAAACTCTCCATCCTGTCCAGGCTTGAGCTTTCTTCATTTCACTGAATGGATCTCGTTCCTTCAAGTCATCAAACACGGTGTTGAGATGTTACGTTCCTCGCCTGGTATGCAGGTGGTGAGTTCGATCCCAACTAATGTCTGTATGTTGCATGTTTCTTCTGTGATCACGTGGATTTTTCTCCGGGTTCTCCGGTTTATCCCTCCACATTTAGAATCGTACGTTTGGAGTATTTGGCTGCTGTGAATTTCCACGTGATAAGCCACTTCGTTGAGCTATAATAATGTGGCCAGATCGCTTCAGAAAACAAGCTAAATAGCTCAGTGGGCTCCAGCTGGTGAAAGAAAAATATAATAGATTCAGCAGCATTTCATATTTCTTCGCGGACTTTGCGACTGCTTTTTTTTATAATTGTTTTGCGTCCGTCCGTTGACAATACCGTGATCATTCAGAGACAGGGATGACATGCGTCACCTGACCTTGTGCGCTCTCTATCTCTCTGTCCCCAGATTCCTCGTGAACGGAGACCTCTGGGCTTCTGGTTGGGTGACTGAGCCGCCGATGTTAGCTGGTGCAAGGATGGGTCCCCCGGTGCCCGTGGTTCTCCTCTCCTGCGGTTCCTTCAACCCGATCACCAACATGCATCTTCGCATGTTCGAGTTGGCTCGCGACCACCTGCAGGCCACAGGTGGGAGAGCAAGAGAGAGAGATAATCCTCTAGGGCAGTGGAACAACTCTTCCCCTAACTTCCCCCCCCCCCCATTACCCTACTGTGTGTATCCTCATGGCATGTGCCACGACTTAACGATGTGATGCAGGGGGTTTGGGGTTGGGTACGTCGGTTGATGTTCGACCCTTTAAATACAATAAACCCTCTCTAACAGCGAGGGTTTACGGTCTTGAAAACACTCGCGGCTGCAGAATTTGAAAACGCAGAAACCTTGTTCCAATGGGAAAAAAATGGGGTTACGTTCCTGGTACAAAGTGCGAGATGCGTAAACAGGCTGAACAAAGACCAAGGGTACATGAGAAGCATCTAGAAGCAACCAGCAGCATCCCATCTTGTGTGATGCTACGCAGAGGCAGGCGTATAACCGCTTACTCCTACTTGCGAAGCGTAGTTCTGCTCACTCAATCGCGTTATATCCAATTCGCATCGGCGTTATAAAAAATGTGTTCCCTAATGAATGAATTGCGTTATATCCAATTCGCGTTATGAAAACACGCGGCATTATTGGAGAACTCACTATACATTTGGTAACTCGCGAATATGCGAAACTCGCCAATCCAGAGCTCGCGAATAACGAGGGGTTTGTATCATAATGCTGATAATGACACTCTCCCGTCCATCCCTCCCTCCCCTCCGCCCGCCTGCCCGACCCACGTTCGCATGGCACGTCCCAGGACAGTACCGTGTGGTGCAGGGGCTGCTCTCTCCTGTGGGGGATGAGTATGGGAAGCCCGGGTTGGTCGCGACCGCTCACCGCATGGCGATGGTGCAGAAGGCCGTGGCGACCTCCGGGTGGCTCAGCGCCGACCCATGGGAGAGCGAGCAGGGCAGCTGGCTTGAAACCGTCAAGATCCTCAGGTGGTGATTGACGTGGCTCGCGTGGTTCATCATGGGCAGCTGGGAGAGGCCCCTGTCAGCAATGCTGAGGCGACGCCGATTCGGGCAGTGTTCTTCGCTCATTTTCAGGCGGGCGGGGGGGCACTTTCACCGATAAGACATCGTCAGTGCGAGGGCCGCCACACATTTGAAACTATTGGGGTTTGACAGCACGATGATGACGGGGTGGCGTTTTTACTTTTGTGTATTGTCAGCGGCCGTACGTCGGGGGCCGCTCTAAAGGCCACCAGGGGCCACACTAAAGGCCACCAGCAGCCACCAGTGGCCCACAGGCCTTGCAATGAAGAACACCGTGATAGAGGATGGATTTGAATCTGGGTTTCGGCGGCACAGCCGTTATTAAACGTGGTTCTCATGCGTTGCGAGTTGGCGGCCCAGCGACCAAAGGCTTCCAAATGAATCCACAAAGAGGCGCATAGACTCGAAACAGATTTGCGTAGATTTGCATAGACACTGGAAGACTCCTACAGACCCATACAGTCAAACAGAGTCCCATAGACTCTCACGGAGACCCACAGTTGCGCATAGAGAGACCCATCGATTCACAGAGACTGAGCTGTGATGAAACTGGCTTCTCTACTGGACTGGCTTCTCCACACACCGTCTCCTTCTAATAACGCACGTTTCCCTGCGCCCAGACACCACCACAACCGCATCCTGGAGGAGGGGATTGTGCTGGGCAAAGCTGCCACTTCGGGCGTGACCACGACCAAGCAGGAGGACCTGGTTGACGGTGAGGCCTCCCAGGAACACCGCCGCCACCTGCGCCCTCGTCTTGAGATTTTGACCGTCGTAGAAAGGGGGCGGGGGGGTGGGGGATCACTCGCCGGATAACAAACCAAAAAAATGCTTTAAAAAAAAAATCTTTTTTTGAAATATGCCACCTTTTTTGGGTGGCACCGATATATTCTAGATTTGAAGCTTTCGTGACTGCAAGGATTCATATTCTTAGGTTTTTTCGGTAAAGTCACGTAGGTAAAAAATTTAAATTAGAATTAATAAAAGTAAAATAAAATAAAAATCACGACGTTTCGTCACAGCACGATACAGCTATCGTGCTGTGACGGTTCCACCTGAAGACGGAAGCTTGTGTTGCCTCCAAAACGTCGTGATTTTAATTTTATTTTTATTTTACTTTTATAAATTTTTATTTTTTACCTATGTGACTTTACAGAAAAAACCTAAGAATATGGCACCGATATAACAAGTGGCTCAAGGACCTTGAACACCCACCACCCCCGTGCCGCCCCCATCTCCTGCGTTTCTTAGGATCCCATCCTCGTGGCGCCAAACGGAAGCAGAAGTGGGAGAGCGGCGGGTGTGTGGGGAAGAGGGTTAAAACCGTGACAGGGGACGAGCACACGGGCAGCGACAGCGTGGAGCAGCAGCAGCAGGCGGAGTCGGCGGTGGTGGTGACGGAGCCAACGGGCGGCGAGACAGCGCTGGCCGGTGAGGGAACCACCGGCAACTCACTCGGCACCGTCGGTGGTCGCAATGTCCAGAGAGTGCCACCGTGTGGCAGAGGTCGCAAACGGGTTTTGATTCCTTACCCGTACCCGTACCCGGCCGCACCAGGGTCGCAAACGGGTACCCGTACCCGTACCCGGCCGTACCCGTACCCTACCCGTACCCAGCCGGGTACGGGTAGGGTAGGGTACGTGTACCCAGCCAGGGTACGGGTAGGGTAGGGTACGGGTACCCGGCTGGGTACGGGTAGGGTACAGGTGTAATAAACCTTCTCGAGACGACTTCTGGAATCAGTCCTTTATTTTCCACTTCCACAGTTACACACACTCCCCGTTGCTGACAGGCAACGGGAAGCGGGCAGACAGCCAGCGAAGTCGCTCCCCGCGCACGTGGCACCCAGAGCCCCGTACGCACGTGGCTCCTGCTCTTTTCGTTCCCAGGTCTGCTCCCGACTCCTCCGTCTCTCCCCCTCTTAACTCCTGGGTCACGTGGTACTCCTAAGCCAATCCTCAGTAGTCAGCGTTGACCGCTCCAGATCACTCCCCGTCAATTCCCGGGACCACGCCTCTGATCCGGCTTCCCATTAGCTGAGGCCAAGATCGGTCAAGCCAATCACCTTAGCTAACATGCCGTGATCACGCCGAGGCCATGCTCCCGGGCTCTCCCCTCATTGGCTACAAAGCGGGACCAGCAAGCCGATCGCCACGTGAGCCATACATGGCTCTTATTACACAGGTATCGGGTACCTGATTGCGACCTCTGGGATGAAGCCATGTTGCAGGCGCGGGTGGGTTGATTCTAGGAACTTGAATTGTGAGAAGAGACAAGACGCTGGGAAATGAGTGACAAACAATTACTCACCAGTGACTCACGGTCTACCCGTACCCGTACCCGGCCGCACCAGGGTCGCAAACGGGTACCCGTACCCAGCCGGGTACGGGTAGCCGGTTATCGGGTAGGGTACGGGTATCGGGTACCCGGTTGCGATCTCTGCCGTGTGGACCGCTGTGGCGTGACATGTAGCTGCGTTGCGTGTGCCAGGCCAGCCGCGCGTCATGCTGCTGTGCGGGGCTGACCTGCTGAAGTCGTTCCAAGTGCCGGGCCTCTGGGACCTGGCCGACGTGGCCGAGATCGTGGGTCGGTTTGGTATCGTGTGCGTGTCGCGCTTTGGCTACGACTGCCCGAAGATTATCTACGAGTCGGATCTGCTGTGGAAACACCGCAACTCCATCCACCTGGTGCAGGTGGGCGAGACTGGGCGGATGAGACCCCCCCCCCCTCCACAAACACAAAGATCCCCCGTATAACCTGAACAGGCTGTTGGGGCAAGTGCTGTTAGCGAGCACCTATGAAGACCGGCATTGCACACGAGGGGGTGGGTGGCCAGCACCACGCCCGGCCGCCTTTGTCTCCCCCAGTGGCGATGTTTTTACACACTGCAACAGGTACTCGTTACGGTGCTGAGTCGACCTAGGGGAGGCCCAGGACCGGTTCAGATAATCGTTACTGGTGTTGGCCATGAGCGGGAATCAACCTCGGGTCGGCGGTTTCATAGCGCAGCATGTTTACCGCGACACTACCGCATCCCCTCTCCCACCTCTCCCATCCTTGCATCTGGTCAACTCACATGACCTTCATGGGAGTGCATAATATCAGCAGCATTGCTTCAACCCATGCAAACGCCAGTTTAGACATTCAGCCAGGCCTGCTTCAACCAATGCCGGCGAACTTTCAGATGGGAAAGCGCGGCAAGGACCCCGCCTCGATGCAAAACTATGTAATGCAACAACTGAAAGTAATCCGTAGCGTCGTTATGAGAATATATCTTGTACCTGCACACCCAGGCTAGTTAAATAAACTAAACTTTTTCTATGTTACCAGATAAGGCCCACTGAACTATATAGCTCTTTTTCAGAATCGACCTGGCCACAAATGATAGCTCAACAAAGTGGCTTATCACGTGGAAATGTATCGTAGCAAAATACTCTAAACTGTTTTTAAATGTGGAGGGAAAAACCGGAGGACTCGGAGAACAATCCACGCGACCACGGGGAGAGAGACACGCAAACTCCAAATATACTGCAGGCGTCAGGTTCGGGATCGAACTCACGACTTCCAGGCTAGGTAGTTAACATCTTGCCACCGCGTTGCCCCAAATAAAAACACTGTTCTTTGCAATGCGTCACCCCCGCCCCCATCCTTCCTTTCTCCTCTCCCCCCCGAGTAGGAGTGGGTGACCACAGAGCTGAGCTCAACGCACGTGCGCCGCGCGCTCCGCCGCGGTGCCAGCGTGCGCTACCTCGTGCCGGACACGGTGGCCGAGTACATCTCCCGGCACGGCCTCTACCAGAGCGACGAGGAGGAGGGGAAGGACCGCTTCGCCCTGCTGGCGCCGCTCGCTCGTCTCCGGCAAGACGCCGACGGCGCCGCAGAAACAACCGCTGACGTCGCAAACGACAACGCCGTCGCCGAAACCACGAACCGCACCGCCGGGACGGCCAGCGTCACCGTCACCGGTGTCACCGTCGCTGGCGTCGCCGTCGCCGCCTTGAAATAACAACGCGCAAAGAAGTTGACACGTTCGTTGATGATAACCGCCACGCCATGCTCGCGCCGGGTGTGGGGCCTTTAAAGAGAATAATGTGTAAGAGGCAGCATTTGTACGAATGTATGTGGAGTGACGTGCAAACTCCAAATATACAGCAGGCGTCGGGGTCGGAACCGAACCCACGACCTCCTGCGTACCAGGCGAGGTAGCTGTATATAAGTATGTTGAACTTCTTTCGCACCGTACGTGGCCAAACCGTGCTAAAGGTGCCGGGGAAAGGACAACAAACTAAGCACAAAAGGCTGCTCTCAAGGACTGAGTTTTCAATCTAGTTGATTTTTAAATGCATGGCTCCAGTGGCTTCCTAATATGGGAAGGAAGAGCTGTTCCAGACGGCCGTAGAAGCGCATCTGAAAGCGCGCCATGCGGTTGACCCGCCCGCCTTTGGTTCGACGGCTAGCCCAAAGCTGCTGCTACTGCGAGGATGACCGGAGTTCGTGCGATGTTGGTTTATGCTCATTGACGAGATCGGTGAGGTATTGTGGTTCACTTGTGGCCATGCACTGACAGAGAAGTGACCGAGCTGTGTGCGAATAAACGTACGGTTGCAACCGGTTTCTTACGGGTTACATCGTTTGGGGCATCAAGTCAACCAGAGGCTTTGTCCCCTCTACCACCCGACGCGGCCAGACCAGCCTAGTTGCTGTCACGTGGGCTCGCGTGCCAAGCGGCTTCGGGTCTTTTCGGCGAACCAGGCGATGGGGATGTAAAGCAAACCACAAATTTTTTTGGTCAAAGTTTCCGCGACAGCGTCGCTGGAGGTGACATCGTACAGCGGTGTCGACGTCGCTTTGCTTCGCAAACTCCTTCCTCCAGTCTGCTGGAAAAAATAACAAATCGATTGGCACAATTGGCCCCCGTGACTTGACAACTTGATTTTATTGGCTCTGTCAACATATATACATTTCACCACGACGATTTCATCCCAAGAGTGTGAATTAGGAAACATTTCACTGAATTGTTACATGATGTTCCATTTCACGCGTGAATAAATTTGACAATGTGTGTAATTGTATGTTTTTGTGCGCAGTCATTGGTGGCTTTGGTTGGGGATGGGGGGAGTGGCGGTGTGGTGGTTAGCGCACCGCCACCGTGCTAACCACCGCCAGTCAGCGACGTCCATTCATGAGCGTTGGGCAGAGGTCGCAATCAGGTACCCGATACCCGTACCCTACCCGATACCCAGCTACCCGTACCCGGCCCGGTATGGGTACCCGTTTGCGACCCTGGTGCGGCCGGGTATGGGTAGGCCGTGAGTCACTGGTGAGTAACCGTTTGTCACTCATTTCCCGACGTCTTGTCTCTTCTCACAATTCAAGTTCCTAGAATCAACCTACCTGCGCCTGCAACATGGCTTCATCCCAGAGGTCGCAATCGGGTACCAATACCAGGCCGGGTACGGGTAGCCGGGTATCGGGTAGGGTACGGGTACCCGATTGCGACCCTGGTGCGGCCGGGTACGGGTAAGGAATCAAAACCCGTTTGCGACCTCTGGCGTTGGGGCATTGTTTACATTCAGCCTCTGCTGCGCTTTGAAGTGGAGACATCTCTTGAAACACGTTCCTTCGGAGTGGGCAGGTAGGAACTTGGTTGGACAGTGCGGCGTTCAGGGGGGGGCGGCAGTTGGATGAGTGGGCATGTTTACCCTTCACCACCCTCCCCGACATCGTCAACCAATCGCGCGTAGCTCGGTGTTCGGTGGGGAGGTGCATGGGTGGGCGGAATTCCGTGTATACACGACAGACAGACAAATGATCCCTGGTGGGCAGTGTGGAACCTGTTATTCCTACCTGTATTATCAGTGGACTGTATTTCCTATTGCTGTCGTTATGAGGGGTTACATTGTAATAGGTAAAGGTGCAGCCCTGGCATTGCTGGCTCACGCCACTGCTGTCAGAAGAGCCGTATCCAGAGGGATATCTTGGGAGCACCCCCCCCCCCCCCCCGCTTTGCCCCGAGAGGGTAACAGAGATGCAATCGATATTAAGCATTTTTTCAGCCATTTTTCAACAACGTCATCTCGTCCCACTTGCTGTACTGCATTTTAATACCGCCCGCATATCTTTACACAAACCTTTTGACGGACGGTGGCATTGTCACGCATTGCGACGTCGCCATGTCCCAAGGCTCGTTCGCAGGAGCGTGCTGCTACGCTGGGATGTGTTGGCCAAGGATTGGATCCGATGAGAGTTGAACTTCGCGCGGGGAGGAAACCAGAGAGCCCCCCCCGGAGAAAAGCCCACCAACAGACACACGCAGACGAGGTGGGATAGTAACCCTCGCACTCTGTTACACACGGATGGCACCGATCCTACTTGCCGTACCTCCTCGTAAATTTGATTCATCCCACCTACTCGAGCTGCACGAACCGTGCTAATGGTCGTGGGTTCGATCCCGACCCTGACACCTGCTCTATAATTGGAGTTTGCGTGTCTCCCCGTGGTCGCGTGGATTTTTCTCAGGGGCTTTCGGATTCACCCCCCCCCCCCCCCCCACACACACATTTAGAAACACGCTTTTACGAGCATTTGGCTGCTATACATGTCCACACGATGAGCCACTTCGTTGAGCTATCATTTGTTGGCCAGGCCGCTTCTGAAAAGGCTATATAGCTCTGGTTAAAAATAAATAGTTTTAAAAATGGCTTCAATCTAGATTTGAAGTTTTCGTGACTGCAAGGATCCATACTCTTTGGTTATTTCGGTAAAGTCACGTGGGTATAAAATAAATTAAATCACATAATGGCTTCCTCGTTAGTGTTGTGGTAGGGTTGTGGGGGGCAATGTATGTCCTGGTGTCCGTCTCGTGGCGTCTCCATGGTGTTTGTTGACGTTAATCCGTGCTTTGAATACCGTGTTTCTGTCGATGATGCGGTGCTCTGGAAAATAAGACGCCACTAATTTGTGTCCAGTGTCAATAAACGTCATGGTCACGCGCACACATGCACATACCGGATTAAAACTACGCAAGTTTTTATACAGATAGGAACAATGTTCCACACTGTCCACTAGGGATTTTTACAGGTAGGAATAATGTTCCACACTGCCCACCAGGGATTTTTTGTCTGTCTGTCTGTCGTGCATAAATAAATATATAACATAAACAGCTCTTTTAATGGTGGAGACCTACTGCCGGGTACGGAGAGGGGAGGTGCCTATTGGAGGAGGGTCAGGGGAGGGGCCTAAGGAAGGGGGGCGGGGTCAGCGGAGGGGCCTGAGGAAGGGGGGGGGTCAGGGGAGGGGCCTAAAGATATGGGGGGGGTGCTCAGGGGAGGGGCCTAAGGGAAAGGGGGTCACGGGAGGGGCCTAAGGGAGAGGGGGGGGCGATAGTTAAGGGGGCTGTCTGCCTGGCTACCTAAAGTCAAGTTATCTTTTATACATACAGGTAGGAATTATTTGTCTGTCTGTCGTGCACGAATGCGCTGTCCAACCAAGTTCCTACCTGCCCACTCCGAAGGAACGTGTTTTTATTTTAGCAGGTAAGACCCCGACTGAGCTATTTAGCTCTTTTTATTCAAAAGCGACCTGGCCACAAATGACAGCTCCACAAAATGTCCTTATCACGTGGAAATGTATAGCAGCCAAATGCTCTAAATGCGCGTTGATTCGAAATGTGGAGGGAAAAAAAAACCCGGAGAAGCCGGAGAAAAACCCACGCGACCACGGGGAGAATATGCAAACTCCAAATATACAGCAGGCGTCAGGGTTGGGATCGAACCCAGGTCCTGTATCTGCCAGGCGAGGTAGTTAACAGCTCGCCACCGTGGCACATTGTGGTACACGCTCGCAAGAGCGGCAACCCCCCCCCCCCCCCCAACTGTGACAACTTGTCAGGGCCCTCCTCTGATGGAGCCATCAGACTCTGCGAGGTTTTCCTGGGTAACAGGCGTGGAACACAGGGAGATGGCGTCAGTATCCGAAGAACGTGGTATTTGAGGTACTACAGTTTAATCCCGTCTATGCCGGCGTTATCAGACGAAGAATCCGTTCGGATTTCTCGCAGAGCAGCGCAGCGTTCGTGTTGGAGAACAGCCTGCGGAAGCGGATGTCGCAGAGCTACCTCCGATAATCACTTCAAGTGACCTCCCACTCTCCCTGCCACGTGGAAAGTTCGTCTCGTGACCGCCAACCCGATGTTTTTTTTAAATCAATCTCGGAGCTGGACTTCTGCCAAACCAAGTCCAGAAGCAAATTGAATTTTAACCGGCTGAGTGGTGCTGGCAATGCACGTGGCATGTGATCCATCACTGTGGAGGCAGCGAGGGTTTTGTGGATCGCACAGACGTTGTGAAGCAACGGGGAGCGTGAACACATTGAACACTACAAATACACAGCAGCAGCAGGCGTTCGGGTCGGGATCGAACCCACGACCTCCTGTACACCAGGCGAGGTAGTTAACATCTCCTAGCCATTGTGATGATGATGAGAGAGAGACACGCAAACTTCAAATATACAGCAGCAGGCGTTAGGGTCGGGATCGAACCCACGACCTCCCGCATACCAGGCGAGGTAAATGAGTGTATGTTGGACTTCTTTCGCACCGTACGTAGCCAACCATGCTCACCGAAAGTGCGAGGGAAGGACAACAAATTGAACAGATGAAGCAGTTCTAAAGAAATGAGTTTTCAATCGAGATTTAAAAGTCATCTGAAAGCGCGCGACGCGGTGGTCGTCTTTGTTCGAAGGATAAGCCAAAATCTGCTGCTGCTGTTGCTGCTGCTGCTGCGAGGATGAGCGGAGTTCGCGTGACGACGTTTTATGCTCCTTGACGAGATGAGCCGAGGTGTCGCAGTTCGTTCGTGGCGAGCACTTTGTGCGCAACGAGTCACGATGAGCGCGCGACCTCACGATGTGTTCGCGGTTCGGCCAGCCATCGAACACTCGTCGCCACCGTGGTGCCACAATTATTAAAACGCCGTCCCCCAATTAGCACGACCTCACCCTCGGAAACACACGAGGACCGGTGGGGAGGGGGGTGATGGTGGTGGGGGGGGGGCATGAGGGGGGGGGGGGCTAGAGTCACGGACATCGCCGGGGTAGTGGGGGGGGCAGATGGGGGGGCAGTGAATTGGAAGTGGGGACAAGGGCGTGGAGAGACTGCGGCTGTCACATTCAGAGTGGGGGCAATTCTTGACAGTTCATTAATGATGCGTGTGGGGGCAGTTTTCACGCGGTTGGGATGGGGGGGCTGGAGTGCCAGTCCCGGGGGGGTGGAAGGGGGGAGGGGGGGAGGGTAGGCAATTAAAAGTGGGGGGGGGGTAGCTAAGTCAATCAGGGTGGGGGGAGCTGTCACAGAGTAGAGAGGGGGGTGCAGTGGCAGTCCCGGGGGGAGGGGGTCTGTCATGGGGTTGGGGGGCTGACGGGGGGTGGGCAGGTGTCATGGGAGTGGGTTGTGGAAGGGGGGGCGGTGTCGTGGGGGGGGGGGGGTGACTGTCACGTGGGCAGTCACGGAGGATAAAGCGCGTGTCGCGCCAGAGGGGTTGCGAGTCGTCCCCTGATTCGAGCCATCGCCGTTGGAGGAGAGGAGCGGTGGCGCAGTGGTCGCACCACTCGCGCCTAACGACGACACGACTCGGAGTTTGTATTCCTCTACCCCCCCCCCCCCCTGTTCTGCACCGGGTTCTCGGGTTGTCTCTCATTACACAAATAAACGCGCGGACGATGTCAGAATCAGAATCTTCGCTTGTACTGCAGGGATCCGATGAGCTATGAAGCTATTTCTTTCACAGGTGCAACTGGCATTGGACAAGCATCCCAATGCAGGACCCTCCTGAAAACACGAGTCTTCGGACTCGGTGTGTCTCTAAGAACGCTACGTTGTATTCATGGCTCCACTAGCCAGATACGGCCCCCCTCCGTTTCGAGGTCCCCAGGCCGAGCACGTGGACACCGGAAAACCGGGCAGCAGATTGTTCACGGGAATGCATTATTGAGCCCGAGGCAATTTTTCGTTGAACGGAGCAAAAAAGAAGTGTTACCGCAATTGGCTCGCGGTGAGCGATGGGCGCATTCGCGATAGGAAATGTTCAGAATCGCCCACGAAAACCTCTCTTGAGTCGCGTGATGCTTTATTTTAAGGAGGACTGCTGGCGATCTTTGCTGCTGCTGCGTGTGATCCCAATCGAGTAATTTGCAGGTACTGTACTGGAATGCTTCAGCATTAGGATGTTTGTCAAATATCGGTTCCACAACACGTGTGTTTGTGTGTGGGGGGGGGGGGGGCTATGGGAGAAAACCAATGCAGTTTCGGGAGAACATACAAACTCTCACACCCACTCACACTCTGCAGAACAGGGGGAGATCATACAAACTCCACTCACACACACCCACTCTCACTGCAGAACAGGGGGAGAACATACAAACTCCACTCACTCTCTCACACTGCAGAACAGGGGGATATCATACAAACTCCACTCACTCACTCACACACACCCACTCTCACTGCAGAACAGGGGGAGATCATACAAACTCCACTCACTCACTCACAGACACCCACTCTCACTGCAGAACAGGGGGAGATCATACAAACTCCACTCACACACACCCACTCTCACTGCAGAACAGGGGGAGAACATAAAAACTCTACTCACTCTCTCACAATGCAGAACAGGGGGATATTATACAAACTCCACTCACTCACTCTCTGCAGAACAGGGGGAGAACATGCAAACTCCACTCTACTCACTCTCACTGCAGAACAGGGGGAGAACATAGAAAACTCCACTCACTCTCACACACACACACTCTGCAGGACAGGGGGAGAACATACAAACTCCACTCTACTCACTCTCACTGCAGAACAGGGGGAGAACACACAAACTCCACTCACTCTCTCACATTGCAGAACAGGGGGAGAACATACAAACTCCACTCACTCACTCTCTGCAGAACAGGGGGAGAATACACAAACTCCACTCACTCTCACACACACTCACACTCTGCAGAACAGGGGGAGAACACACAAACTCCACTCACTCACACTCTGCAGGACAGGAGGAGAACACATAAACTCCACTCACTCTCACACACCCACTCACTCACACTCTGGAGAACAGGGGGAGAATACACAAACTCCACTCACTCTCACGCACACTCACACTCTGCAGAACAGGGGGAGAACACACAAACTCCACTCACACTCTGCAGGACAGGGGAAAACACACAAACTCCACTCTCTCTCACGCTCCCACTCACTCACACTCTGCAGAACAGGGTGAGATCATACAAACTCCACACACACTCTGCAGAACAGGGGGAGATCATACAAACGCCACTCACTCACTCTCTGCAGAACAGGGGAAGAACATGCAAACTCCACTCACTCTCACACCCACTCACACTCTGCATAACAGGGGGAGAACACACAAACTCCACTCACACACACTCACACTCTGCAGGACAGGGGGAGAACACACAAACTCCACTCACTCTCACACACTCACACTCTGCAGAACAGGAGGCGAGCCTACGAACTCCACGTCAGAAAGACGCCCGAGTTTCGAATCCAACCCGGTGCTTCTCGCTCAGCCCGCGTCGTTGTGCACGCTCACGAGTCTCGTCTCGTCGTGGTGTCGTCATGGAATGTTCTCGTCTGTAATTTCAGCAAACATGAACACTGGTGGTCGTAATGAACATAATAAAAATGCAGGCATAAGACAACTCACCTGCATAATAAGTACGCAGTATCGAACGAATGCTCGAATGGTGTACAACCCTGTCAAAATCCACTGCTGGATGATGATTTTCCCCACGCCGTTGCTAGTTGTGGCGGTGTTTGACCATATTTGACCACACTAATCAGTGGAATAGGTAATTCATTCACTTTCATTCATTCACTCACTCATTAAAGCACTAACTCTGCAATCTTGTCTTTCTCGACAGACCCGGCTCTCGTGTCTGCAACTGCCGTTGTTGCTGTCAGAAGCGGAGCGGTGGCGCAGTGGTTAGCGCACTGCTCCCAGCCACAGCGAGCATCCGTGGCGAGCGATATCCGAACGATTAGCGTGGTCACGTGGGGAGACCTTCATTCAGCAGCGGATTGAGAAAAGACGGTGTTTATGTTCATGTTTATTGCTGCTGCTCCGGCTGCTGTTACTACTTCTGCTCCCGCTGCTATTTTTGCTTCTATTGCTGTTGTTGCTACTGCTGCTATTGCTACTACTACTATTGCTGCTACTGCTGTTGTTGGTGCTACTCCTGCTGCTGTTGCTGCTACTGCTGTTGTTGCTGGTTCTATTGCTGTTGTTGCTACTGCTGCTATTGCTACTACTACTGTTGCTGCTACTGCTGTTGTTGGTGCTACTACTGCTGATACTGCTGTTGTTGCTGGTTCTATTGCTGTTGTTGCTACTGCTGCTGTTATTGTTGCTACTACTGTTGCTGGTATTGCTGTTGCTAGTGCTTACTGCTGCTGTTGCTACTGCTGATGTTGCTGCTGTGTTATTATAGCTACGACTATAGCTGCTAATACCGCTATTGCTGATACTGTCGCTGCTACTGCTGCTGTTACTGCTGCTGTTGCGACAATTGCTGCTACTGTTGCTTCGGGTAACCGTCGAACGAAGGCTTTCACTACATTGGGCGTTTTCAGATGCGCTTCTGCGGCCGTCTGGAACGCTCCTCGTTGCGACTTTAGGAAGCTACTGTAGCTATGCACTTTTAAATAATCTCGATTGAAAACTCTTTTTTTTAGAACTAATTTGGTGTGTCCTTCCCCCTCACCCCCGATTAGCACGGTTGGCTACGTACGGTGCGAAAGAGGTTCAACATACATACTTAATACGTGTTAAACATACATACGTACTACTACTGCTGTCACTTGTTACTGCTGCTGACATTTTTTCCTACCGTTGTTGCTGTCTGTTACTGCTGCTCTGTATGTCATTGTTGCTCCTCCTGTTGCTACTGCTACTACTGCTACTGTTGCTGCCACTGCTGGAATCCTTGGCTGATAGAGGTGGTAGTGCACTAGATTGAGGCGAGGGTTAAGGTCAGGCCAAGTTGAATTCAATTTTGGTTGAGGTAAATTTTAGGTCATGTCGAGTCGCGATCAGACCGTTCGGATCAAGGGCAGGTCAAAGTCAAATTTAGATTAAAGTTGAAACATCGTTGGTGAAATGTTCACTTTCAACGTTTAACAGTGGACACGTCTAAGGTCAAACGTGAAGGGATGAGTTGTCACGTGGTGTAGCGTTAAATAAAGAAGATAGAGTTGGACGTTGAACATTTAAAGATCAAGGGTAAGGAGCGAGAATATACATTTGAAGTGAAATGTGAATGGTTGAGGATGAAACGTTAAGTGCGGTATGGTCTAAGGCGGAAAGTTAGAAGGTTAAGGGTGAACATTTAAATGGTAGAAGGTCTGAGGTGAAGGTTGAAAGGTTATTGATGACATTAAAGTGAGCGGTAAGTGTGAAAGATATAGGGTGAAACGTGAAAGATGAAATGTTAAACTTACAGAAATATTTAGGTTCGGATGATATAGTTTTACTTTGAAAGTAAAAATGTTAAGGGTGTAAAGGTTAGCGTGTTTGTGGATGAAGGCGGAGAAAATGAGTGAAGGGTGAAGTTCAGATCGTGCTCGGAGTTTAAGGTTATCAGTCAGAGGTCAAGGCAGGAGGAAGTGTTGGGGTCATGACCCTGGCAGTGCAGTGCTCACTGAGCCAGGATGGCCGCTTCAACTGCTCCGCGCCGTCGCTGGGCCCCGAGGAGAGCTGGGCGCTGGCTTTCATCTGCTTCTCTCTCGCCGCCCTCACGGTCATGGGCAACCTCCTCGTGGTGGCCTCCATCGCTTTATTCAGGTGAGGGTCAAAGGGGTAACGTGTTTAAACTAAACTTTTGTTTTCATCTTCTTGGTTCTTTCGGTAAAAGTCACGTAGAATGGAAGTAATAAAATAATAAAAATAAAACAGAATAAAATACAATTCTCATTATTATTGTATTATCTCCCTTCTACGTGACTTTACCGAAAGAACCAAGAAGATGAATCCCTGCAGTCACGAAAGCTTTAAATCGAAATAATACAAATATCACGACGTTTCGTTCACAACACAAGCAATCATCTGATATTTTTATTATTTTTCTACCTACGTGGCTTTACCGAAAGACCCATGGAATATGCATCCCCGCGGTCACGAAAGCCTTAAGTCAAGAGCTGAGTAGCATTCGAGTCTCTCAAGGCAAAGTTGGGAGAGGAAATTTTCGATGTAAAGCTTTCGTGACTGCAGGGATTCATCTTCTTGGTTCTTTCGGTAAAGTCACGTAGAATGGAAATAATAAAATAATAAAAATAAAACATAATAAATTAATTCTCACGACGTTTCGGCCACAACGCAAGCAGCCGTCCTCAGGTGAAGAATAGGTCAGAGTCTGTCTTCTCGACAGACCTATTCTTCACCTGAGGACGGCTGCTTGCGTTGTGGCCGAAACGTCGTCTGTCTTCTCGACAGACCTATTCTTCACCTGAGGACGGCTGCTTGCGTTGTGGCCGAAACGTCGTGAGAATTATTTTATTATGTTTTAAATTTATTATTTTATTATTTCCATTCTACGTGACTTTACCGAAAGAACCAAGAAGATGAATCCCTGCAGTCACGAAAGCTTTAAATCGAAATTTTGTTTTCATTTTACCAGCTAAGGCCCTGGATTTCACAAATGATAGCTCAACGAAGTGGCTTATCATGTGAAAATTTACAGCAACCAAATACTCACCTCCGTTACCAGTGGCATACCTTGGTTGGCAGGTGGCCCTGTTTGAGAGATGGGCAAAAACAAGGATACATCCATTAACTCGATTTTTCTCGATACATCAATGTTTTTGACAATGATCCCTCCCATGACATCAGAACAACGATGTTGTGTTTTACATACATCTAGCCAAAATAAACCATATATCCCGACCACATATCTGCCACATTAATTTCAGGCTTTTTTTTAAGACAATAAAGTGGGCCCTTTCCAAACGTCGTTGACAGGCGCACCTCCGATGAGCACGGTGGGCTACATACGGTGCGAAAGAAGTTCAACATCCATCCATACAGGCGCATAATACGCCTGATAGGTTTAACGTTAATATTCTGGGTGGTGGCATTATATAAGTTTTCTGCTGATTGACTGTTGACCCTTAAGCAGAAACGGCCTGGTGCCATTGTATTGTTTCTTGGTGGGAACTGTGGCAGTGACCACTCCTTCCTGAGGGCATCTGGCAGCCTGGAGCAGGTCCCACTGCTGGCTCGCTTGGAGGTTCATTGGCCACACTCCACTCAAGTGGCTCGTTGCGGCCCTGCTGTGCCCCATAGCCCAGAAGTCTGCAACGTGCGGCTCTTTACGTATCTGCTTCGTGACGCTATATATGTATGCATGTCTTCACGTGCATGTGCGGCTCTTAAAATATTCCGTTTTGTGCCAAATTGCCCTAGCCGCAGGAACCGTGGATGGGTGATGGATCACGCATTGGCACGGGTGGCTCCATCAAATTCATGGCCTTTGTTCATAACTTTCACGTGACGAGGATGAGAAGTGGCAGCGAGCATGGGAACCAGTAATTCGCCACTCTTCGTAAAGCCTGCCTCTATGGACATCTCGAAACGTGATTATCGACTCGGACAGGAATGTTTAACCTCCACCATGCATTAAACAGGAATCATCTCCATAGCTCGTCAACAACAGTGTCCCCTTCCCCATTGTCTGTGTGTGTACATGTGTTTATTGAGTTATCCACGAGGGTTTGTATGCTTGCTTGACTTCCTGTGTCCTGTAGTCGCGTATACTTTATTAACCGTGCAGTGTTCCGTGCATGCTTGTTCAACTCCCGTGTTTACAATACGAACAAACGTCCTGGTTTGTCCCAGTGCTTCCAGAAAGTCTGTCTCCAAATCCCCCAAAAAAGTTATTGGGAAAATAGGTATTTTGTCCCCAGTTTTAAAATCATGTTGAACCCATACAGGCAGAGCTGCCTGAGTAGCGGGCGGAGTTTACAGAGGAGTAGGCAGGGCTCTTGTCAGAAACAGCGAAGAGGCCACTCTCTGTGTGTGCGTGGCCAGTGATCAAGTGGGCGTGGGCATTATGAAGTAGGCAGGGCAGAGGGAGAGGCTTGCAGCTCAACACGTGTCCCAGTTGAGCCTTCCAGGAATTGTGCAGCTTTACCAAAAGACTAACAACCCCGACTCTTGCTCCTCCCGCCTACCCACCTGCAGACAACTCCAGACGCGCACCAACGCCTTCACACTGTCTCTGGCCGTGGCCGACCTTCTCGTGGGCCTCCTGGTCATGCCGTTCAGCGCCACGCGCTCGCTGTACGGCTGCTGGTTCTTCGGACGAATCTTCTGCAAGGTGCACACGTGCCTCGACATCCTCCTGAGCACGGCTTCCATCGCACACCTGGGCGCCATCGCCTTCGACCGCCACACGGCCATCTGCGACCCTCTGCGCTACCACCAGCGCCTCACAGCCGGTCGCGCGGCCGCCCTGGTGGCCCTCTGCTGGGTGGGTTCGGCCCTGCTGGCCGTGGGCCCCATCCTGCTCGGGTGGAACACGGTGGGCATCGAGGAGCTGGTGGCCTCATCCTGCCCCGACGCCTGTGTCCTCCTGATGAACGCCCCCTTCGCCATTGCCGCTGCCACCTACTGCTTCTTCGCACCGAGCTTCGTCATGGTGGTCACGTATATGCGCATCTACCGGGTGGCACTGCGCCAGGCGCGGGCTGTTCGCAACGTCGTCCCAGTGTCGTCCGTGGCATGGGAACATTGCGACATCAACTCAAGACCGGAAAAGAGAACGGACCAGAGACGGGAACGTAGTGCCACCAAAACCTTGGGAATAATCATGGGGGCCTTTGTCACCTGCTGGTTGCCCTACTTCTCACTCACCCTGCTCGACCCATTCACGGGGTTCTTGGCTGAGCCCTGGGTGTGGGAGTCGACTGCGTGGCTCGCGTATATAAATTCAGCGCTCAATCCCATCCTCTACCCAGCCTTCAACCGGGCCTTCCGTCAGGCCTTCCGCCTGGTGTTCACATGTGCATGGCGTTCGCGGAACGTGAGGCGCGCCAACCTGGCCTAGTGAAGGATGGGGCGCGCTTCACCATACCTTCCTTCTATGCAATATTGACATCTGACCGTCTGTCAAGATATTACTCTAACAACGTGACCACTGCCACGTCCGTTCGGTTGAAGTATAGATTATCCTTTTGGTAAACAGACAATGGATTGCGTTTATCAAAATTTGGTTTTGGACCGATCTTACGATCTTACGATCTCACCACCACCTTCCGCTTCGTCACCGACCTCTGGGTGCCACCCATTTGTTTCGGTAACTCGGGCATCTTTAGCAGAGACCACTGTGGCAGCTGCAATGGGTAGCTACTCAGGTCGCAAGCCCTCGACGTTCCTAGCCCCTCCCGCTTCGACCATTTCACCCCCACAGTCCGGGGTATGGGGCAGCCAGTCAAGTAGGACCTGGTCGTTAAGGCAGGGAGTAGGGAGAAGTAAGAAGAGAGTGATCATTGGTTCTTTACCCTTCTATCTGGCAACAAAACTGACACCTTTTGCAAGGAGTCATGTTTGCATAGACCGCAATACCTGCAGTCATAATACAAACAAAAGAACATAGTGCACATTATCAGAGTTATGTTCTTTTGTTTGTATTATGACTGCAGGTATTGCGGTCTATGCAAACATGACTCCTTGCAAAAGGTGTCAGTTTTGTTGCCAGATAGAAGGGTAAAGAACCAATTATCATATTTTTACTGGCAAATGAGGTCCCCATAGTGTAAGAAGAGAGTGTTATAGAAAAGGGGCAGGGATTGGCTTTGGTGGCAGCACCTCGCCCGGAAATCACGTGCTGCTTCCCGTGCTGGAAGAACCTGCACTTGGAAAAATTGTTTAAGTTAAAATACTCACCAGGTGAGGAAGTTCCGTCAAGATAGCTGGAAAAGATAGTGAGGTGGCTGATCCTCACCACCAACCAAGAAGAAAGCTGAGCGTTTAGCCGAGCCTCCCAGGATAACATTGACGGTGCTTTGGCAAGGCCTGTTCCCCACGTGCTTGCCTGGACACCCTGCCTGCGAGACGTCTCCTCAAGGACGGCTGCCCCTGGGCTATCGGCCCTGCACCACTCAATGCAGTCCACACTCAGTGTGCGTGGGAAGCATAAAGTTTTGAATTTTAAGTTCTACATTATTTTCTGGAGTTGCAACCGAGGCACCGAAATATGGAAATCTTTATTGGCCACGGTGATGCCTGAGTGATTTCTTTTAGACGTGGCATTTAGCGTGTTATTGTTTCAAAACTATTAACTAGAGACCTAGAAGCAGAGACACAGAGTGAGACAGTGACACAGAGACAAAGTGAGAGAGAGATGAACGTAGGGACAGAAACACGGAGACAGAGTGAGTCACAATGAGACACACAGGACCACACCGAGATACGCAAGGGGATAACAATCCGGAGACCAGAGATACAGGTGAGCCTGAGAATTACAAAGTCGAACTCAACCTACTTGATGAAAGTGATGCCGAGCAAATGCGACAAAGAACCAGAGTAGCAATTTCGTGAGTCCCGAAGCTTATCAGTCTAACTTTTCTTACCTTGTGATTGTGTTATTAAATAAATGGTGCATATATTAGCAGTACAAGATAATTAGTGGTTATTAAATCTTGTGTATGTTGCTGGGTCACGGTTGGCTTAGGATAGGCCACGCCCTTTGTCAACCTCTCAGAATAGGCAGTCACGCGACTCGATTGCCAGAGTCACGTGACCACTAAAGGAGGTGAGCTGGTAGATAAATTTTGCTTAACTATAAAATTTTAATTCGTAGCCATCTTTAATAATAAAATAAACATCAACACATACATTTTTATATATCTGATATTCGTGAACTTGCAAAAGTAGCTAATCCTTCAATTTTTGAAAATATGTTAACATAAATTTAAATATGTAAATCCCATGGTATGAGATGTATTTCCTATGCATTTTGAAGAGAGGAAGATCTGTGAGAATGTTTTTTCCCCTTTTTTCTGGCAACAAAAAAACACCTATTACAAGGAATCATATCTGCATTAACCACAATACTTGTGATCAGAATGGCAACAAAAACATACGCTGATAATATATGCATTGTCTTTGAAACTGATGGTCCACACCAGAGACAGCTTTCTTTTGAGCCTCGTCTCAAACGGTGTTAGACCAGAGGACGCCAAAGGCTGGCGTGGCGCGTTCGCGTACCTGTGAGCTGTGAGCCAGACGAATAAACATGACATTTTTGACCCTCGTCAACCTCTCTTAAAAGTCCTTGGGTGCATGTGACCGGTGTTTGGAAGTGAGAGCGAGTCGTGTCACAGTCGACAAGAAGAAGGATCACGCAGCGGAACCAAGAAAAACAATGCAGAGTGCTACCTAAACTTTCATTTCATCATTTATTGTCGACCGCCCTGTGTCCTCGATTACGATCACGGCCAGGAAAGGTCGAGGCACAGTGGGCACGGGTCACACTTGCTACCGTGACTCGGTGCGACATGGGGCAGGAAACCCCAGGAAGACAAATACAAAGCAACCCGTCTCTTGGTTAAATGGTTGGCATAACCTTAGGCCATAGGCTAAGCAGCAGCAAGTGCAGCAGCAGCAGCAACTGCAGCAGCAGCAGAAACTGCAGCAGCAGCAACTGCTGCAGCAGCAGTAACTGCAGCTCCCTTTGATGCTGTTAATCCTGCATAATGCACATGCATATGCAGTACTAATCACATTCCTGCATTTCCCATAAATATGCTAAATTCCTTTTGATATGCAAATTCCTTTGTCAATGCGCCCAGCTTATATATATGCTCCAAGCTCGTGTGCTGTTTCATTCAGACTCTGTCGCCTCGACGGACCTGGTTTTCACCTGAGGACGGCTGCTTGCGTTGTGGCCGAAACGTCGTGAGAATTGTTTTATTATGTTTTATTTTTATTATTTTATTACTTCCCTTCTACGTGACTTTACCGAAAGAACCAAGAAGAGGACATAGGCTAAGATATCAAGTTGTTGGGCGCTTTTAGCCCCCTGTTTCCAAGCCTCTGAAGTCCAAGGCCATCGTCCACTCGGGGTATTTTCAGCATGAGCCGTTCCCTGACACCACCCTGGGCCCTATTCTGCTTGTGCCGTTACCCTGGGAACATGTTTTCTCCAGAGTGAGGAACCACAAGGACCTGCGACTGAAACTCAGTGTCATCACCACTATTACCACGTCCATTTAGTTCGCCTCTTGAAACAGAGGTTCACAGTTCGAAATCCAGTTACCTCAAACTCTTAAACTAAACTTTTTATTTTACCGGGTAAGGCCCCACTGAGCGACCTGGCCCCAAATGATAGCTAAAAAAAGTGTCTTATCACGGCATAATTGATAGCAGCCAAATACTCTCAATGCATGTTTCTAAATGTGGAGGCTAAAACCAGAGGACCCGAAGAAAATTCCATGCAAGCACGGCGAGAACACACAAACTCCAAATATACAGCAGGTGTCAGGGTCTGAATCGAACCCACGCCCTCCTGTATACCAAGCGAGTGAGTTAATATCTCGCCATTGCGGCGAGATGCAGGTGAGTGTATAAGTAGACCTTAGGAGCCTCTATTGTGTTACCAGTTTCATGGTTCCATTTGAAAACTTACCCATAAATTCCTCGGTGGGAATCGATGGTCCAAATTAATAATTTCTGCCTTCTACTTGGCAGAACCCTCCCTCCCTGAGAGTTGTGATTATAAATGTGAAGTTAGTTTTAAAAATTCGGTACCATCCAGGGAGAAAAGTGCGTCATAATCGAAATCTATGGTGTATGAGCTCCAGGCAAAAGTTTGGGAATAATTATCTACGATGATTACTTTCTAATTAATATTTGTCTTGTTGATAATATTAAAAATGATCGATTCCTCGAAGCAAATGTAATCAATAAACATTCCAAGGCTGTGAAACGTTACACCGTCTCTTCATTTTTACATTGTCCCTTTCATCCCTCTGGGGGTCGATAAATCAGGTACCACTTCGTGTGGAAGTCAACCGTGGTTCCCCTATAGACGAGACTCATTCCCGTAATAAAAATGGGGAATTTCCACCACCGCCTCGGGGCTGTACACTGGCAATCACGTCGTGGATTGTACCACGGGGTCTTTGTTTAAAGGGCTCGTAGACAGCAACAATGTTGTGACTGGACTTGTGAGTAAAGCGGTTGCTGCTTTAAAATGTGTGAATAAATTAATACATTTTAAAGGAGCTGCTTGGGTTGGATTAAACAAATATAACCTTTTTATTTAACCAGATAAGGCCCCATGAGATATACAGTTCTTTTTAAATCCTTTATATTAAGTTCGCTTGCTTGCTTGCGTGCTTGCGTGCTTGCTTGCTTACGACCGTGCAAATCTTTCGGTCGTTTTTTAACCCACTTCCCGTGATCCAATCAAGCTGACATTTTGCACACAGACTCGTTGTGCGAGACAATTAATGTTCGTGAAAAAAAAATGCAAAAATGTTACACTTTTTAGGCAACAAAAATGTATTTTACATTTATTCAAATATAACTCATTCATAGCTTTGGCTGAACGTCACAGTGTAGGAGCCCAGAGCGTAACCCCTCCACAGGCCGTGGCGGAGTAGCGCAGTTGGTAGCGCCCTCGCTTCCCATGCCAAAGGTCGCCGGATCGATCCCCGTGTCCTCCACAGGCGAATATATTTTTAAATCCTTTATATTAAGTTCGCTTGCTTGCTTAGGACCGTGCAAAGCCACGCATATAAAAGATTTATAGTGAAAAAACTTTGTTTTTACGGGTTAATTTTTCAGAAGTGACTTGGCCACAAATGATAGCTCAACGAAGTGGCTTATACTGATAGGAACCTCCTGGTTACACCAGCCCACAGGGTATTATTGTGTCCGTCCGTCGTGCATACAAAAATGGGAGGGGTGGGGAGGGGCTGGGTGGGGAGGGGCTGGGTGGGGAGGGGCTGGTCACCCCGTGGTGCCCTTATAAAACTCAACGTTTAACCTACTCACGCCGGCTTGTGCCCTGCCCTCACAGTCGGGCATATTTGCGGAATACACCACGCCGCCAGTGACCCTGGCCATTGACCGAGCAACCCAACGTTCCTACCAGCTCCTTCCACCGCAGGAATGTGTTCACGTGGAAATTAACAGCAGTAGCCAAATACTATAAACGCACGTTTAGGTTCCGTGAGGTCCAGCTAGTATGGATGTTGACCTTCTTACGGACCGTACGTTGCCAACCTTGCTAATCGGAGGTGCGTGTATAGTTAGCGCGGCTAGTCACATTCAGAGTCGGGGCAACTGTGACGGGGGGGGGGGGAAGGGCGCAGTTAATTAGGGGTAGCGGAGTTATTACGAGCGGCGGAGGCTGTCACGAAAAAGGGGGGAAAGGTGGTTGACGAGTCAGTCTCGGGGGGGGGAGGACGGAAATTAACAGTGGGGGGGCTGTCATGGGCGGGGGAGAGGTGGTG